CTCTTTCACTGTATTTCTAAGAATTGATAACTTTACTGCAGTTTGTAACTTCCCCTAAGAGCCTCTTAACTGCAATATGAACAGAGAACACTTGTACAATAGGATGAAGTCATATAGTGTGACCCTTAGGTGATCTTTTGTGCAACTTTTCTGTGCCTAGTTTTTACTCTCAGTATACTAAGAGTAGCTCCAGTGTATTATTTCCTCCAAAACCAGTGACTTAGATACTATGCTGTGATCTTTTTGTTTACCAGCTTACTATTTCTAGATTCTGAGTTTTAGCTAACATGGATAGCGTGGGAGAAACACCCACTGAAAGAAAGGGCTGTGATAAAACACTGCAACAGAAATCAGAGCTAAAATGCTATTTGTGTGATTATTTACTATGGATACAAACTAATGAAATAACCTCAGCCTCACCCCAATCCTCTTGGTTTGAAGCAAATAGAATAATGGCACAACATTGAAAAGAAATCATGCATTCACTGTTATCTGTGAGTCACCTTTCCTGTAACAGAAGACATTTTTTGGTGTGTTGGGGTTGTTTTTTTTTTTAACAGTGAGTTCAGACACTGGACATGTCACTACAGCATGCAGAAAAAAATGAGCAGAAAACGCTTAAGGGCTTTTAAAATTTTATTCAATATAACATGAAGGAGCAAGATCCCCTTTCTCAGTAAAAGGTAACCATCAAAAGAGAAATTAAGGCCTTGAAAGAGCCTCAAGCTTTATTGTGCCTTCCAGTTCCCTCTGAGCTTTAGAGGTATTGGGTCTAGAATTCTCTAGACTTCTAGAATGAACCACTACATTGTAAGAAAATCAAATATAGTTTGTCCTTTAGTATTTCTACGTGTATTTGCTCAAAGGTACATCTTTTTTTTTCCCCTGCCACAGTAGTAATTCTTGAGTTATACTAATGAATGTTTAGCTGCTGGTGGTGGGCAGCAATTAATGCAACAAAGCTGCATATCATACAGGAATATTTTCACTCTGATCTGAGTTTAAGTTAAAATTCTCAACAAAATTAAATCAAATCAACTGATGAGGTCATTTTCCAGTCTTCTCTGTTACTCATTTACCAGCTTCCTTTTGGAAAGCCATGAGTTTTGATGACTATGGAAATGACTACTGCAGCTTTCAGAACAGTGCACAGTTAACCCGATCACCTGGTTCTGAAACTCAACTTTCTGTTCTTTCAGTCTACCTCACACACAGCAGCTCATTCACTCTGCCTTAATGACTTCAAGGTGAGTCTCTACTAGGCCATTTAGTACTACTTGGCAACCTGAATCAATCTCCTTTAGGTGAAGGTTTATTAATAGATGAGTCCATTCCTGGTAGACCTGTCCTTTTCCGGGCTGCAGTCTCTATTTTTCGTACGAGATCCACATCCCAACGATGAGTGACAAAACTAACCACAGCTCCAGGTGTTTTGCTTCCAACTCGTCCAACTCGCCCCACACGGTGCAGGTAATCCTGCAGGGTGTCTGGGAAGTCATAGTTGACCACTAGCTGCACACTGCTGGTGTCCAGCCCCCGCGAGGCAAGGTCAGTGCAGATAAGGACAGACACGTCACCCTTCTGGAAAGAAGCAAAGATGCCAGCCCTAGCAGCTGCTGACATCTGTCCCTGCAGCCTCAGATGCTTGATTCTGTGGTCATCCAGGATATAGCCCAGCCAGTTGACAGTGCTGGCGCTGTTGCAGAAGATGAGAACAGCGCCGCTAGATGACGGGCGCTCCTTCAACAGCTGCAGCAGCTCGGGGAGCTTGTCCCTGCCTTTGATGCGCACGAACTTCTGCTGGACGTGAGGTGGCAGGCGGTGCAGGCTCTGCGTGGTGAGGGTGACAAACCGCCCCACGTCGGTGAACTTCCCCAGCGTCTCGCTCAGCCCCGTGGGGAAGGTGGCTCCGACCACCACCACCTGAGTCCTCTCCTCGCGGGGACCACCCGGCCCGGAGGCCCCAGCGGCCAGGGGCGCGTGTGCCAGGATCT